CCCATATCCTACTTCCTCTCCATCATTTTGTAGGCTCAGCTTTTAGAATTCATGTGTTTTTCACCAATAGAGTTCAGATCATCCATGAAATGTATTTGCTTTACCTTTATCCAAACAAATTGTCCTTTTAATGAAGGCTGTGCCCCACCCCCCATTCTCTTCTCATCTTCCAAACCAACTGAGCACATTTAAAAGGCCTGGGGTTCATTAATTTTAAGTGTTCAATAAATTAGTGGAAATAATCAAAAGGCCTGATTCTTTCTGATAATGACAATTTGATGTCGTATAAACCAGTAGATTAAGCTGGGAGCATATGCTCCTTTGCCAAGAGAGGCTGCTATAATTAAATAGTGAATGCATCTACAAGGTGCTCTCACGCCTGATTAATTAGTAATCAGGTGCGCGAACTCCATTTTTCGGTCACACCTTGTCTCTTATTGGTTAATTACCTTTCTGCCTTATCATATGTCACATGAGCCAGCACCTCCCACCATGGGAGGACCGGATGCTGCTGAAGGCTGCAGCCTCGGGGCCTCAGCCAACTCATGCTCTCCATTTTTGTTTTCCTGGGACCCTAAAACCTTTCCTCCATCACAGATGAAATAGACCGAGGATCATTCTTTCTAATTACAAAACGTAAGCTTCAGAACATTACAAAGAAAATGATCCCCAAAGAGATCCATGATGAGACCTCTCCAATTCTTCTATTCTTATGTTGGTCATTTTCTTATCTAAAAACGTTTTCAATTATGAAAAGCATGAACCTGTGGCTTTCTCCTTACACCGTCACATCTTGAGACCAGGTACAATGGCAACATGCTATTGACATGGTCTGCTTTTATCACCACTTCCAAGACTTTGCTTAAATCGTTCCTTTATCCTGTAGCTTATTTCACCCATCTTTCTAACTTAATAATAAAGCCGCCAGTCTCATTCCTTTTTTAATATAAGGTGTAACTCATCCACTTCTGTTCACATCAATCTGTGCATTCTGTAAAGTTGAAAAGCACTTCTAAGTCCATACTGTGGTATTTATCCCAAACTTGTTCTCAATTTGTAAATATTTATTGTTAATTTAGTAAATATTTATTGAGCATCAACTATTAATTTAGTATTGCCTCAATAGTCAATGTTGTCTTCAAATTTTCAAGGGAGGGACTTTTCTCATATACCTTATGACAGGTATTGCTAGAAATGTAGAGACTTCATTTTCATGGACCAATTTGGAAATCTTAAGTTGACAATGCTCTACTCTGGGTACCTAGTATACTTAACTGGCAATTTATACATTCTGCCCACTCTCTTAGAGTTAGAAAATAATCCCCTTCAAGGAGCCAAAAGGCAAAATAATTTAAAAAGTTGGGCTTCCATGGAAAGAAAAGGAAAAGAGAATATGGAAAAGATGGCTTATGCAACCCAGTAAAAGCCTGTTATAATAGAATGCCCTTCTACAGGACAAAGGGATTAAATATTGCAATAGAATCAAACTCTAAGAAAGGTAACTTAGAAAAAAATGCCAGGAAACATTTGGAAAGGGAAATCAGTTCATTTAAAGATGTTACAAAAGTCATCCTTAATGGTTTCCAAGCTGTGTGCAGATTTCAGTATATCCGTGTCCTCTTCTTTATAAGACAGAGCCACTGAGGTAAGGAAAGTAATAATAGTCACAAGTCAAGAGTCTTTTTCAAAGCCACTCCAGTCATTTTACAATGATACAATTAACCCAAAAGAAATATAATATATACCTATAAGAGGAATGATTTGGGGGAGGGAAGAATGGAAACATTATTTTTTCCACTAGATAAATGAGAGAAATTTGAAGTAGAGGGAAAACATTCACTGTATCCAAAATCCCTTAAGTGAAAAGAGATACCATAAGTATGAATGCATTGCAGATATCACTGTGATGATTATCCCTAAGACTGAAAAGACCAACCCTCAACGTAGCTGCCTCTCATGAGAGGCTGTTCCACTCGCCCTTTCATTCAATTCACCCCTTACTCACACACTGTTCTCAGAAAGCCAAGGCTTTCTGCCTCAGTGCTCTGTTGTGTCTATAGCTCTTTCCACAACAATGTGCTGATGGCTTCTGGACAGAGTGGCCACTGATTTCCTTGAGCCTCTCCACATGTACAAATGCCCTCCACCCCCAGAAGAACCCCTTCCCAAAAGAGACATTGGAAAACTAAACAGTATATTCAAAATCTATTGCTCGTTTTATTAAATTTGAGTGTGCGAATGCCATTCAGAGAAGATACATAGTCTCAGTACCAAAGGAGGTAGAGAAAAGTTAACAAAAGTACAACATACGAACGTACAATGTACAGTGCACAAAGAGTCTGGTTTCTAATAGCACCACCTCTACGTGTCCCTCTGGTGGCTGGTTCTGAGCATGTGGGTAAGGGCCAGGGGGCTATTTCTTCCCAAACATCGTTTCTAGGTCATGAAAGACAACAGAGATGGTGGGAAGAATGTGGTTGCTAGAGCCCTACAGCCTGGATCTGAATCTTAGCTCTTCTGGTTCCTAGATATGGGCTGAGTTATTCACCATTTCTGAACCTCATTCAATTCATCCCAAAATGGAAATAATCATACTATCTATCTCATGGGGTTATTGAGAAGAAAAGATAGGATAATCCGGAACATGCTTAGCACAGAACCTGGAACATAATAAATAATAAATGTTAGCCATTAGCAATATTGCCATCATAGCATGCTCATTATTCTGGGCGCCAGTTAACAAAGCTCAAAAAGTATACTTTTATTCTCTTTACTCTTGTTCCAGCTGCACCTAATCATGGTAAGTTGTAGTATTACAGAGCCGTAAGCAACTTAACCAGATCTGCTAAAGTTTGTTAAGTGTTTTGACTCTATAAAAGACTGTAAATGTGAAGTGTCATTTCCAATTTGAATAAATACAAAGAAGGATGAAAATCATTTGAGAATGAAGATATTGGCTTGGGAAGAGTTTAAAAGCCTTCCACAAGCTGTGATATTGTACATATGTTTTCTCAGTGCTTGTGATTTCTGATTTTGTATTTGTAATATGAGCATGGTTAATCTTCCTTGTTTATAAACGGAGCCCCATCGCAGTTGATCCTTCCCAGATTGTAAGAAGATCTGATCCTCAAAAAGAAAAAAAAATTCTTTGGGTCAATTATTGCCAAGTTATTCTGATGAGTGCTATATGATCTAAGCTTGCTATAAACACAGACATCTAAGAGGAAGAGAAAAATGTGCTAAGAAAATGATTCCTGGTAAGAGGAAAGTGAATTACTAAACTAGATGTGATACTAGCGCTTACCAAAGTAATGTGTCGTGTCTGATAAATTTTGTCCTCATTAGGGCACTAAGGAAGAGAAAAATTAATTCTTTCTCTCCCAAAGCAGGTCTAATTATTCTCTCTTAAAATTTTGGAGGGAGAAATAAGTACCTAACTATTTAAAAAGGAAAAAAAAACAATACATGGCATCTTAGTAGATTTTAGACTCTTTCCCTATTTCACTCTTCCATTCACATTCTCATTCTCACTTTGTCATTTCAATTTATGCACATATTAGAATCTCTCATTCAGGCCACATTTATCTAGTGTGACTCAGCCACTGACTACACAATGAGAGAACATAAAGCAGCAACTGTAACTGGTGCCTGCGAGTTTCATGCCATCCCACCCTGACTCACGGCTTCCATTTCTGTCTCTGTCTGCTCCAGACCCAGACTCCAGCTTTGTCTCCCTGAGCCAGCTGTTGGATCTGGTCTCTCTGCAGTTTCACTTTAGCTCGCCCTGTCCGATACCGTCAAATCTTCTCCACATACCTGCGTACGCCTGCTCTTTCTCCTGTCCTACGCAGTAAACTTGACTTCATTCCCCAGAAGTGACCTCTTCAACTCAGCCACAGAGAAGGCTTCCTTGTCAACTGGTCCCTGGGCAGCTGAAGTTTGATTCACAGGACCACAATCCTGTCTGATTCCAGCCTCACAGACACTATCATGGAAGCCACCTTGGCCCTCGTAACACATGATCTTCTAAGTCCTTCATGGAAATATTATATGAAAATCCTCTGATCACCTTCTATTATCCCAGTTACATGCATTCATGGAACGGTGTAATTGTTTTAAGCATCGAAGAACTTGATCAAGATGCTGACAGATATATCTGCATTAACCACAGTCCTGAGAGCTAGCTCAATTCGTCCTTCTTAATTAACTCAGAGAACAATAACAATTGTTATTCTGATTCAGAGCAATGTGTGCCATACTTCTGTGGAAGTACTGGTCATTTCCTGGGCCCTGCCACAGACCTGCAGAGCCAGCACCTCCAGGGAAGGTCCTGAAAACAAGCATTCCAGCGGTTTACCCATAAGGCAAGTTTTAAAAACACTGATTTAAGGAATTACACAACTTCTCCTGTACTATACTCTCAAAAACGTGGTTTTTTCTCAGGAGCAGGTGTTCTTAGAAAGTGAACAGAGACCCAGATGGAAAAGATCCTTGTGTTCACAGTTCTTACTTCTCATCAATTATACCAAAAACTTGCAGACTGCATCATATTCCCAAAATATAAAATGTGTAGTGAGGATTTTAGTGGCATGAAAAGTTTCATTTTAGTAGCTATGAATTGTAATATATTTTAGAAAAAAACAACTAATCCATTCAACCCATGAATTTATGGATATTATTGT